TTTTTTTTTTTTCATTTTTTTTTTTTATTATGAGTAATGTTTAAGATTTACAAGGGAAATTCCTATTGTCAATGTTTAACGAGCAAGGAGATATTTTCCCCTTAATCATCCTTCACATGTAATTCTTTTAATTATATTATTACTTTTTGCCCTAATTGAAGTTATCATTGTATTTCTTTTTATATATGCCAAAAAAAAAAAAAAAAAGGAAAATTAATCCGAAATGAGAAAATAGCAATTTATCCTTGTAAGTACTACTAACATTGAAAAATTGTTGTATCTTGCCTAAACGAAGGGAGTATTTCACACTTGATTAATTAGGCATAAGCACATGCTTACCCTTCAATAACTAAGCAATGCCTTGGTACAAACAATTACTTTAAGTTTTAACAAATGATACATGGTTTGCTTTGAGACATTGTCAATTCTCCAACCCATCAACCTTCGTAAATGATTAGATGGGTTTTGATAGCAACCCTTAAATTGTGATGTAGGTCATCATCTAGGGTTTAAAAACACTACCAATTGGTTATGCATAATATGACATAATTGATTATGTAATCAGCAATGTTGATATAGGGTTATTATATCCAACCCTTGAGTACGGGTGTGCAAAATTGAGTACCCGAACCGGAAATCCGGTTCAAGCAATTAGTTAAACCGAAACTGAATCGGTTTAGTAGCTGAACTAGTTTTGAATCGAACCAGAAAATCTGGTTCGGCTCAAGCAGGTGCCCGATTTTGAAACGAATTTGAATTAAAAAATTTCAATTAGGCCTCTACTGTTGTAAACTTGGAATATATGCTGAAAAAAACATCAATTTGCTGCTCAAATAGACTAGAATCTATTGTAGGGAAAGGGAGGAGAAACAACACCACTGGGCAAGTAAAGAAGTCTGTGTTTACTCTGCTCGGTTACAAGTAAATAAGGGTAAAACAAACTAAATTCAATTTCAGCTTGAAATAAAGCAGTGGCCAATTCCTGATCATTCGCCTACCAGTGCCACTTCTGACAAATTGACAACGTACCAACACTGAGTTGCTATTGTAATAACCACCAGACCGCAAACTGCCAACTATCACCAACACACCACAACAAGCAGCCAACTAACATCCATAGCATTGGAGCAGTAAGTTGTGAAGATTGAGAAAGATTGGGGTAGAGAACTAGGGTTATTGGATTTGGGAATTAGAGAAAATTAAATTAGGATTTTGATTTTATGCAAAAAAAACCGGTTCGGTCTGGGTAACTGGTTTAGCATATCTTAATCGAAAATCGGTTTTCTTTCATATTGTAACCCAAAACTGAACTGGATTTCTGGGTAACTAGTTTTTCCAATTTGATTTCCGGTTCCAGTTCGGGTATGGGGTGTTTTGAACACTTCTACCCTTGAGAGATAGTAAAATATGTTTTATATACCATATAGATTATTATTGATCCCCTGAAATTATCATTTACTTCTCCAAGATTATCATTTACCATTTAAAAAGTGCCAAAAACTCACTTGACGGGAGTACTTAATATTTTCTTATAATCGAAATCGTGGGTGAATTTTTTATTTTACTACTTTTTAGGGTTATTATAATCTGTACAAATATCCTAGTCACACAAATACATATTCTATTTATGTCTATGAAATGATAAAGACTAGCTGTTTAAGTTAAACGAGAATCACACGCATGTCTACATGAATGACAAATGCCCCCGATATTTTATTTGAGTTTATGAAAGAGTAAACGACATATTCCCACTCGAGGTTTAGTCAAATCTTATATTGATACCTTGATTTGCATTTATTCTATATTTCTATCTTTAAATTAATATCGTGAGTGAAGTCAGTAAGTAATAAGTTTTATAGAGGAGGTTGTGGGGAGTCTAACGGTGGTATCAAAAGTGATTTTGGACTTCAGAATTTGTTAAAAAAGCCAAAAATCACTGACTTGGATGCTACTAATATGAGCCGTTTTTTATTAACATGAGTCAATTTTCTGTCAAAGAAAATACCGATGCACTTTAATATGCTAACGTGTGTTTCGCTATAATGAAAAGTTGTAAATACATTAAAATAAAAGAAATAACGTTACTTTAAGGGATGAAAATTTGAAATAAATATAACTAGAGATATCAATTTAGGATTTCGCTAAAGCTAAGCTGGGGTGGGAATATGTCGTTTTTCTCTTTATGAGAGGATAAAGACTAGCTGTTCCTTCAAAGTCGGTTAAACGAGAATCGCATGCATGTTTACAGTTTAGGAAGCAAATTGCCATCAAATAGTTCAGCCTTCTATAAAAAAATTCTTCAGAAATTAACAATATTACTATAGCTATCATGAACCTGCTTTCATTGTTCTTGTTGCTAGCTACAGTTTTTGTAACGTCTCAGGGATCAGACTTCTCGTGCCTGAGTTGGCGATTTGCGGTGGAAGCTGATAATATTATTGGATGGACAGTTCCCCGGTCCCCCACATTGTGAAAATTACATAAAGGATTACGTCTCATCGTCAACCTCAGGCTATCCGTCGCAGTACAGTAAAGACTTAGAAAGCCGTTACTGATGCAGCTTGGAACTATACTCAAAGCATGGAGCTGGCTGATGATGGCAAGAACATTTGCATCTTTGACGTAGATGACGCCACTCTCTCTAATTTGCCTTATTATGAAGTCCATCATTACGGGTCAGTAATCGTTATGTTTATGATTTTAATTATATATATATATATATCCTATCTTAATTCGAACTATATTCTAAGTTGTGGTCCAGGCCAGACCCACCTTATGATGAGCGGGGCCGGTGACCTCAATTTTATTTTCATTAGTTTAATTTCATCTTTTGCTTTTGCTTTTAACTTTATATATTTATATTAATGTTTCTTGATTTTACATTTCTCGTTTATTTTTTTTTCCTGTTTTATATTATACTATTTTTATCTAGTTTCCTCTAAATCAATGTTTTAATAACCAATATGGGGAGAAACCCGACAAAGTTATCGGATCTCGGGTTAACCACTTTAACCGGTTTGGTCGGCTGGCCAAACTATATGTCAAAATTTTTAAAATTAAGTAAATACACCCCTAAAAATTATTAAGTCCTTACAAGTTTGAAATTTAGCAAACACACTCTAAATACAAATTAGTCGTCGATTGGTTGGCAACGACAATACACCAAATGTAATCCCAATCATCTCTTGAGTCCATACCCTAGAAAATTTACCCAAGATCTAGCCGAAATCGATTGATTTAGGCCAAATCTAACCAATGCCGACGTCGACCGATTTCGGCCAGATCTCACCATCGCCTGCGTCGACAACCCTCCCCATCACCACGAAAATACTCCCCTAAGCATCCTAACCAAAACCCATCTCACCCCATCCCCGTTTACCTCACCAATCATCGGCAAAAGTTGGCTGTTGCCGCTGTCCCTTTTTTTTTCGATTTTTAGTCGATTAATTGACCGGAAATTGATTCTGTTGCCACCATTGCACTCATCGGTACTTCCTCTTCAAAAGCCCCAACATCCTGACCTTCAATTATTTGTCGATCATCATCCCAAATTCTAGGGTTTTAAGTAAATAGGGAAATTGTTAAACTGGCCTGATGAAGGTCCCGGGTCCCGGTTAAACTGGTTTAACTGGCTAGGCCGAGCTTTAAAACACTGCTCTAAATTTAACTTTTGGGTCCGTTCTTGATTGTGATATCACTACAAAAAAGAAATGTATATTCAGATTATAGCTATAACGAAGAATAGATTTTATTACTAGGAAATCGCGTTGCAGTTTCAACTCATATTTTTTATACATAAGATGAATGCATATCAATGTTCACTCTAGGGCTACTGTGGCGCAGAACTGATGCTGTACTTAATTCCTACGTTGACATAACCATTCTCTGGCGCATTGGCGTGCATGGGAAAATCGTCAGGGCATCATTTATAGATATTTTGAACTGAAAGTTTACAGGAACTATAACGTTGATTAATTAATTTTTGTGATACATAACTATGTGAGATGCATTGTTGATCTATATATATTTATATGATGAGCATGGTGTGACAATTTCAGGGCTGAAGCAGTTAACAGTACCGCGCTGAATGAGTGGTTCATGGTAGGCAAATTACCTGCATTGAATGAGACTCTTGAATTCTACAACAACTTATTAAAGCTTGAAAAGATTAAGCTTATCATCCTCACGGGAAGAAGAGATGACATGGAAGATGTTGTAAAAGCTAATCTACAGGAAGCTGGGTACGGAAATTGGACAAAGCTTATCCTCAAGTAAGCATTCATTAATTAGCTACAAAGGGTCCTTACATCAGGATTAGGATTCTCTCTTGAACTGAACTTTTACCTTAACAAATAGATATAAACCATAAATAAGTGAAAATATATGTGTTATAAGATTCTTAAAGCTCAAGAAAGCTCAAGTGAGGATATTATAGAGATTGTGACATATTTCTCGAAAATTAACTGAACTTTGTATATATATAATATGGGCTAGCCATAATGTTAATATTTGGGCGTAATTTTTGGGTACAGGGAAACATCCTATAGTGGATCGACATTTGAGTTCAAAGAAGAAGAAAGAAGAAAGCTTGTGGAGGAGGATGGATACAGGATAATTGGAAACATGGGTGATCAATGGAGCGATATCCAGGGGATTCACCTAGGCAATTGGACATTCAAGTTGTCCAATCCTCTGTATTATACGGCTGGAGCACAGGGTACTGATCAAAATTTATATTTTGATTTTTAGATATGAAATGTATCATGTATTTAATAAGAAAAATATGTATTTAATAAGAAAAATATATATGAATAAATGTTCATGTAATAGCCAAACTATTATGGCTAAGTGGACTTCGATTTATTAAATAAAAAAGTGATTTATGTTACGTTATCTGTTAATTATATCTTTACATAATGGTTTAAAGATTAATTGAATTATGATACAAAGGTTTAAGTAAGCTATAACTTTCGGAGACACACCACTATCAAAATGTACTTAAGTAAATAAGAAGTTATTTGACAACTATGAATGGGAATATCGACAAGTAATATGACCCAAAATTAAATATATTGAAGCTTCATTCAACTTNCAAGTTTTTGATGCATCAAAATTATTCTTTTTTAAGAATTAATATCATGAATCTTTCTTTATTTATGTTTAGAGGTGGGCATTTGGGATTAGGTCCAAAAATCTAGCCCAAAATCTCGGTTCTAGGACCGATCTTAGGAGGCTTGGTCCCAAAACTTTACCAGGCCTAAAGAGGAGGGCCTGATCCCTCTACTAGGCCCTCCTCCAAGGCCTGGGCCTGGGCCCAAACCTTTTTAATCATTTTTTTAGTCTTTTGTAAAATTACATAAAATCTCTTATAAATTTCAAATAAACATAAATTATAGGGGTTAAAAATTTTTTTTACTAAATTAAAAAAAAAAAAATTTTACTTTTGTTTAATAATCGTTGGCTGCCAGGCAACGAGAGTGGGAATTTTTTTTTGGTTCTCCCCCCAACAATTATACTATAAATAATCCTCAAATCTCTCATTTTTTTTTCACACCACCCAATATCTCAATTTCTTTGTTCACTACTCCAATCAAATTCTCATTCAATTTATATTTATAATTTATTTATGTTATTCAATTTTTTCAATTTTTCAATATTATTTCTTATTCATATTATTTATTTATTTATTATTTAATCATAAATTCATAATGCATTTTCGAAATGATGTATTTGGAGGATCATTTTTAAATGAGTTTAACGTTCCATCAGATGAAATAGAAATGTTAATCCAAATTGGACCAGTCCCAGAAAGACCAATCCCAAACCGGCCCAGGAGGAAAGGGTGAAAATGGATTGAATCTTTTTATTTCATCAGTGGATGGATGAAATGTAAAACTTATTTGGAGATGATCTTTCGAATGCATCATTTGAGGAATTCATTATGAATTTATGACAAAATAATAAATAATTAAAATGAGAAAATTAAATAAGAATAAGAATAAGATATGATATTGAAAAATTAAATAATATGAATAAATTATAAATATAAATATAAATTGAATGAGAATTTGATTGGAGATTTGAAAAAGAGATTGAGTTGTGTGGGGGCGCCTTTCCTCTCTCAAATGATCGTCGGTTGGTAGTTAACAGTTATTAAACAAAAGTAATTTTTTTTTTAATTTTTTGTAAAATTTCATTTTTACTCTTATAATTTATGTTTATTTCAAAATTTATAAGGGGTTTTATGTAATTTTGTAAGAGACTAAAAAGAAAATGATTAAAAAGGTTTGGGCCTAGGTGGATTGGGCTCTCTTCCAAGGTTTGGTTCAGTTTTGGGATCAGGCTTCCTAGGACCAGTTCTAGGACCGGGTTTTTGGGTTGGGTTTTTGGATCTAGTCCCAAATGTTCACTTTTATTTGTAATACTTTTAACACTAAGTTCCTTTCTTAATATGTGGCCTTAGTGCATCTTTCATTTATGTTGTTAATTTGTTTAGGTTTAAGCACATTTCCTCATCAACTCACTTCTTATAAAGTCCAATTATTCAATGACAAATCATGGGTCATGTAAGTCTTTTTGAAAATATATGATCTATGCAAGTTCTCTTGAAGACGCATGATTTATGATTTGTCATTAGATATTTGGTCTTTATGGGAGGTGGGTTGGTGAGGAAAGATTATAAATTAGGCTTTATCTCATTCAATCATATATGGAGGTGAAAAGTTCAACATATTAGGTTTAAAATGTGTTTGCAAACTAAAACTCAAAATAATCTCCTTTTTACTTTGTCTTCTTTATTTTTCAAAGTGAGTGTGTGTTNGCAGAATGTAATTTTCTTCGATCTCTAATGAAGATTCTCTTTTTAAAAATCTCTCTCTAATCTCTCACTACACAAAATCTATTATGGTATCAGAGCAATAGGTTTATTTCCTGAATCTGCAGAAGAAGAATTGCTAAATTTGTTCTTGGATCTTGTTTGATTCATCTGATTTGTTTGACTAAGTATAGACTAGCTCATGTTTGACGATTTACTTGACTGAAGATCTGCTAGCTTAATATTCGACAGTTTGTTCGATCTGTTAGCTCAATTCGTTCGATGGTTTGCTTGATTTTGGTTTTGCTTAGTCTTGGTTAAACCGACGATTGATTTGACAGTTAACTCAGTTTGATTCAGACTTAGTTTTGCCTTTACGAATTTGCTTCTTCTCTGTTATCTTTCAAGTAATTGCACGAAATGGTGAATTCTAATAGTGAAATGACAATGAATCATACAGATTCAAAATCACCATTGTATATCCACTCATCGGTTACTCTAGAATCTGTATTAGTAACAGAGCAACTCACAGGCATCGATAATTATGGCATCTGAAGTAGGGCCATGACAATATCACTTCGAGCCAAGAATAAATTGGGGTTTGTCGATGGTTCATGCAAGAAGCCAACAGATTTAACTTTGGGTGCGCAATGGGAAAGATGTAATTCACTAGTACTGGCTTGGATCTTCAACACCATTTCTAAATGAGATTTTCAATGGAATAGTTTAATCTACTAGTGCACATCAAGTGTGGCAGGATCTCCAAGAGTAGTACCATAAGATCAGTGGAACCAGAATGTATGGAATACAGAGGGAGATTGTTAATCTTACACAAGGTGCCATGTTTGTGGCGATCTATTATAACAAGCTGAAATCTTTATGGGATGAATTGAGTTCATTGATCAGCTTACCACCACCAGACAGTGTAGTGGCCAAAGCCTACCTTGATCACCTAAATCAACAAAAATTGTTGCAGTGTTTGATGGGGCTCAATGACACTTACTCCATGGTAAGAAGTCAGATATTGCTAATGTCACCATTGCCTTCAGTGAAGCAAGCTTACTCGGTTGTTAACCAAGATGAAAGCCAAAGGATTCTGATAGGGACCAATGTTGGTTTAGATGTGACCACAACCTTGTATGCTTAGAACCCGCAGAAGGGGCAAAATCACAATCCAAAATACAAAGGCAAGAAGCCTTACATAGAATGTGACTTCTATCATCTACCAAGGCATAAATGTGATACATGTTACAAAATCCATGGATATCTAGTAGATTATAAAAGAAAAATGAATGGATCCAAGAACAAATCATCGGAAAATCAAGTGCAATCTGCTGTTCAAGCAACTCTCGCTTCTAATACTCTTGTGGTTTCATCAAAAGGGTCTCTTGGAACCATTCTCTCGGCTGAACAATACTCTCAGCTTCTCCAATTGCTTGGCAAGGAAAATATGTCAGCTTTAGCGAACATAGCAGGTAATACAACATCACTGTTATCTTGCTTAAATGAAACTAATAGTTGGATAATAAACTCAGGGGCAGCTGATGACATGACCAGATTGTCTAGTCTAAATTCTCCTGTTGATATGGATTCCGGCCCAAATACCTATGTTGGCTTACCTAATGGAACCAAAACTAGGATTAGGCACATTGGTTCTGTTAAACTGGATCACAAAATTAATCTTGATCATGCATTGCATTTACCCGATTTCAAGTATAACATGTTTTCAGTTTCAAAATTTACTTCATCTAATAATTATGTTGTTACATTTTACCCTGACTTTTGCTTTATCCAGGACCTCTAGAGTGGCAAGTTGAAGGGGATTAGTAAAAATTTCCAAGCCTTGTACTTTCATGTGCCTTTTACACAACCTTTATCACACAACTTTGATGTTCATGCACTTGCCAAAATGATTTCCTCAAATGCGGTTTGTAATACAATAGTAAATAAAGGTTCAAGTCCTAGCACAAAATCTGTTTTTTCTAGTTCACATTCTAATTTTCATATTTGGCATCAAAGGTGGGGTCGTGTAACAAATCTTGTTCTTAAATAGATAAATAAAACTTTGTCAGTCAATAAGGCTTTTCATTGTTCAGTTTGTCCATGGGCAAAGCAAACAAGAATACCTTTTCCATTAAGTCAAACCATTTCATAGCATGCTTTTGATCTTTTGCATCTAGATGTATGGGGACCTTATAAGGTACCTACTTATGATAATGCTAGGTTCTTTCTTACAATTGTGGATGATTGTACTAGAGTGACATGGTTATTTTTTATGCAATTCAAATCTGATGTGTTTCAAATACTCAAACATTTCTTGATTATGGTTAAAAATTAGTTTCATGCTACACCAAAATGTATTAGATCTGATAATGGTTTGGAATTTTTCAATAAAAATTGTTAAAATTTATTGCTAGAGTTAGGTATTCAACATCAAAATTCATATGCCCTCAGTCATCCATAGCTCATGATTCAATGAAGAGATATCTCGACCTGCATTGTTGTGCTAATCAGATATGCCCATCATATCATGTAAGCCGGACTTATAGTCTTTTGTCCCTCCAATTGCTTTATTTGGACATTTGTTTGTCCTTATCAACATGCTTATATAGGCTCGGTGAAACACCCCGAATGTTTGGAACAATAATCATGATACTATTTCCACTCTTCAACTGTCACTCTCTGATGTGCCATTGTTCAAAAGCAGTTAAAGGTTTAGCTACAAATTATTAGCTCTGTGGCAACTCTGATCATCGACTTAAATGGTGATCAGAAGGGCAGAACATTACAAATCTTGGAGGCGAGAAGAAGTTTAAGGTAACTTAAACGAAACATACAGATGATTTTTACAAACTGTACAATCCCCCCCCCATTCTGTGATTGTCAAAGCATGACAGTTTCACCTTCCTCCCATAGAAAGAAAAGTACTCTTATTTATATATACATAGTTAGAAAATGATACGGACATAGCTTTGTGTCCTTATTTGAGGACATCATATCTTACCTCCAGTCACATGTCCTTGATCGTACTTTAAACCTTTAAGCGAACATTATTATCAAACGTATTATAAAATGGCTCATTGGAAAACCTGAACGTGTAAAACAGTTATACATGCAAACTTTTGACAACCGTGCATCGGCTACAATTCCTGGACTCCGTGATAATCTAACTCATCATCCAAATTGAAGTCAAGATAGTCACATTGCTTGTATAAAATTTTGGGGCCACTCTACGGTTGCATTTTGTGCAGTAAATTGGTCTGTGATGATCTCTTGGCGGGCGCTCTTCGGTATTTTATTGAAAAAGTTTGAAGGTATTATGTACTTTCTGTTATCGTTCCACTTGCTTAATAGTAGTCACTGTGCTTTTAAGCTTTAGGCACGGCTAACGGCGACTCAAGACTCTCGGCAAGTACTCTACCACTCAAGTCTGGGTTCCTTCAAGCTCTAGATACACTCAACTGTGATTCTCATGACTAGCATTTGCCCATGAATATTTCACAACTTAGTCTATCCTCCCAACCCCAACCCGTGACTCCCCCGCAATCTCCGGGCTGTTACCAGAAGATGTGGACGCTTCTCGGGAAGTAGAGGCCATGCGTCGGGTATTCCAGGCCCCGTGCTTCGTCAAGCAGCTTGAACCCAACAAACACGACTATGATTTACATAAATGTAAGAATCAACACGCATAGTAGGGAAGCCTCAATAAACGCAACCGCAACCACTAGACAAGTTATCCCAGAGCTGCAGACCTACAATCTTAACAATTGTTACCAGGAATGGGAGGTCCTTGACCTTTCGTGCGAAGCATCTTGACATAACTACTAGTTTGTGGATGATGAATTAAACTACTTATTGTAAAGAATGCCAGTTTAGTTAAAAGTTTGTACTGTATCTAATGTTTGCACTGTCAACGTTTGTCAAAGTGTGTGAATAACATCTACAAGATTTGTAAAGTTTGTATAATGTTTGCAAGTTTTCCAAGGTCCATGTTTTACAATTGAGTTATCCGGGGCCAACCAGTCTTTGTCCCTGTTCTAGCTCTGTATGTATAAGATATATTTCTCTATGATTTCTCTTGTGAACCTAAAAACTGTGTTAGTTCGCTTAATAGTCAGGATATAATACCCATGATTATAGTCAATATAAGTTATTATGACTCTTCCACTATCTTATGGATCATTGGATTAGAACTTGATGAGCTTTTATTGAAGAATTTTACATAGCCCTTCTAGACGCTATTTTTTAGAAAATATGCTTAGGGATAAAAGGAGAAACGACACGAGTATATGGATCATGTTGTAGGTTGTGGCTTATCATAGTTTCCCTCCCCAGTAGTCATCTTTGATCTTTTTGAGACCATCAGTGGGGGCTTATTTATTCTTTTATAGTATAATATTATTATAATTAGTTTATATATGTAAAAAATGATATTAATGTTATCATTAAATTATCAAATTATATTGAATACACATAGTCATTATGTCTATAACAAAAGTAAATATGTCTAATCATAATTAAATTGAATAGATAAATTATTTTTTTCAGATCCTTAACTTTTTTACTTACTATTTAATGTCACTAATTTTAATCTCAAATCTTTATCTTACTTTGTTACTCTAAAGCACCACCGGTGTTTACAATAAGACTGTTTTATTAATTAACTTAAAATATTTCTTTACTCCATATTTAATTTAATGCAATTAGAAGGTGGACTTTGTTGATAGTTATTTACGAAGAGTATTCGTGTTCATTAACACGTATGAATAGGCATAGTATAGGCACTTATGGTTTCTGAATTTCATCTACCTTTTTTATTTCTTTTATTGAAATTTTGCAAAATTTTGCGTCCGTTATTATTTTTTTAAAAATCTAGGGGAAGAAAACGAGTAATGATAGGGCCCATCTTTTTAAAAAAAGTGGCATATATTCTCTCTCTCTCTCTCTGTCTCTTTTTTTTGTCAAATGTAAAATAATGATGTAATTTTTCTTATATTCTATATGGAAGATAAAATGCAAACTGTTGCGAAATTGATAGCGATTTGGGGGGGGGTAGCCTCAAATTCCTTATTATCTCACCATACACTCTTCGCATTTTCATTTTTTTTAGTTCTCTGACACACACCATCAATATTTAATTTACTCTTTTTTTTTTTTTTTTTTTTTTTTTTTTAATATTGGGAGTGTCCGTAGGTCCAATTTACGGGCCTCTTAATTATCACTTAGGACCTGAAACTATCGTTGTGGGTAAGAGCTCTACAGTTGCTATATCTATAAATTTTTACAGCAAGACACTGAAGAGGATTCGAACTCATGCTCCTCTTTGAGTATACTCTAACGGTCTCTTTGAATCATGTTGGTCACCTATTTTACAATTACACTACTGTTGAAGATCAAAAGCATTAAACTTTTCATATAGAATTGAAATCTGATGAGTTCGAGATTTTTAAATTTGGTTATAATCACTGTTTTCTTTGGACTTAATTGTGTTAAACTAGTTTACAAACTTATTATTATTATTTAATTGATGATGGTTGTTGTTGACCAGTTTGGTGTTTCCAATAGATTGCAAAACTATAAAAGACGAGTCAACTGAGAAGGTTGTGTATCGAAAATTCAAAAAATGACCATAATCTGACAATTATACTTGTATATTTGTGTTATTTTTTTTTTGGTATAAGTAATGGTGGCCACCCCTTGCCCTTGTTACAACTTGAACCAAGACTCCTAAACTTTTAACCTCTTCAATTATCTTTCACTCGTTAAAGAGAATACCAGCTAGGTGTATTTCTTTTTGTTCATTTTTCACTTTTTTATATGTAGTAAATGTTTTAAAGATTACAAGGGAACGTCCTATTGTAATTTTAACGACCGGAGAAATTTTCCCCTAATCATCCTTCCATGTAATCTTTATAAATTGATATTCTTACTTTTTGCCTTGAACTTGAAATATCTCAGTGTATTTCGTTTTTATTATACGAAAAAAAAACAAAAAAAAGGAAAATTAATCCGAAAGTGAGAAAATAGCAATTTATCCTTGTAAGTACTACTATATTGAAACATTGTTGTATCGTTGACCGTAAACGGCACCGGAATAATATTCTGGACCGATGCTATTACATATAATAGTGTTGGGCAAGCAACTGC